TCCTCACTAATTACAGTGACAGGCGATCCTTCAAAATCGCCACGTCACAAGAAAAACCCTATATAGTGTATGAACTCCCTGAATAACTCGGAAAATTCAAATTTTAGTGAAAAGTAACTCAGACGAAAGTTATATTTATTGAGTATTATTTGGGAATAAAACCTTCAAAAAAAATGTCAAAATGTAATTTTAAACATCATTTGGAGGTTAAATTGTTTTTTTCAGTTGACATGACTTACTTTTGACACTTGGAAATCGATAAAATATTCTGCATTAAGACATGCATGATATGTGGAGGTCAAATTAACCCAAAAGGATTACATAAAGATCACACATTTTTTTTTTCATGAACATGTTATCTCATAAATTAACCCTGCTAAAAAAAAGAGTTCCTAACAAGATTAGTAACGTTTTGGAAGAGAGATAAAACAAAAGATATGACCTTCACACAAGTGAAGGTTCATTAGCTGGATTAACTAACAAGGAGAGATTGTCAATATACACCGCGTTAGATTTGGCTAATCTTTATATATGTTTATATATGTTGTAATAATCCATTTCCCTGTAAAAACAGCTTGTATGACTGTGGTCAATAAGCACCAGTTTACAAGAAATCGGAGTTGAAAGTTTTCCGTGCGCCTAAAGTACTTCAGGAGCTAAAGTGCTTAAGTAGGAGCGAAACTCAAGCAGCCATCGTGGCGAGTAGGGAACGCGGCTAGAACGCTCGAGGTCATGCGTTCGATTCCGGCTTGTTCAAACTTTTTTTTCATTTTTTTGAAATAAGAACTAAAATGAATTATTAATATATGAATTAGCCAACTATCATTTCAGTATTATTTTCATTCACATTTTTTAAACAGAATTGTACGAAAAGTAACGAGACACGCCTGTCAACGAATAAATAAATTCTTCTTTTAAACTTCGGGGAAAGATTTTATTTCAACATTACATTATTAGTCGTTCTGGATCATTAATACATCTTGATTTAATTAACTGTATAAGCTGAAAGGTCTTTCCTTCAATAGCTGGATGATTTTCTAACCTAACCTTAAGAGGCAAAGTAAAGGCTAGGTTCTAATGTAATAATGTGGGATCAATGTGATCACTACATTTTATAACGTGAAATTTTACTTCTTGCCAAATCTCCATATAAAACTGCGAGAATTTTACAGAACACAGATTTTACAGATTTTACAGAGTTGACCTTCATGTGACCTTGAAGCATATCAATTGTGTGATATTATTTTACTTATCTTAGATACTTTCTTGATATTGTGGTCGCCATATATGCGCGAACTGTCTATCACATCTATCAATACTGAGTCTAAGGTCGGTATTTATAGTCGAATCTTATTTCAAGACCGTCTTAAGTAATGTCTTAAGATGCGAATACGGCTCTGTGATTGGTTCATGACATTTTAAGACAGTACTCAAGATGATCTTAAATATAAGATCGGACTATGAATACCGGTCTAAGTGTTCTGAAGTAGCTTTTAGGAGCTCTCTCTCTCTCTCTCTCTCTCTCTCTCTCTCTCTCTCTCTCTCT